TGTTTAGGTAATTTCAGAAAAAATGACAAAAATAACAATAAAAAAGACTTATTAATGTTATTATTTTTGACTTTAGTCTGATTCAACAGGAGCAGCTCCTGAAACTCCACATCTGATAAGAGAAAAAGTGGAAGCACTTTGTGCCTGGAAAGCGGAGCACAGATGTGTTTTTATTTATTATTAATTTATGTCAGCGTTCACATGCAGCTACGACAACACAGTTTAGTGATTTCAACCGAAAACAGAACAAAATCAAAATATTTGACAGGCATGAACTTGACATCCAGCTCCAGAACAATCAACACTGGTGCTCCTCATGGATGTGTGCTTAGCCCACTACTGTTCTGTACGTACAATATATTTATACCTCCTGGCGTTTTTCTGTCAGATTCCTAAAATCATGATTAGAATAAATCTGCCAAACAAAAGAGCCAAAATGATTTAAAACTGGAGAAACTTTGAGCACTGAGGGGACATAGCTTTAAAGTATTTATATCCATATGAAGAATAAATCCAGACTGTCAGCAGCTCATTTATAAGAAGCTGTTGTTTTCTTACATTTAAAGACGTGTTTATAAAACTCTTGAGCTCATCAAGCAGACTGTATAAACAGGATGCCTTTCCCAAACAGATGAATACAGCTCTCACAGGTTCTGCAGACTTCCATCTGACACGTCCAGGATATTATTTTTGACAAAGTAGCAGCATATTGTGTCGGCTGCTCCGTTACACTCAGACCTGGTTGGAGGTCTAACGCACATTCGCACACTTTTCCGGTGTTTGCTATGTTTGGCCTCTTGGTTCATTGCTAATAAATCAGACTGGAAACCAGGAGGAAAGAAGGAGCGGCTGGTGAGCCTGTATGAGCTGACGAAGCAGACCGAGAGGAAGAGGAGCGGACGGCCAATACCTAAAGAGGAAATCTGCTCGAGGACAAACGTCAAACGAAGAATGAAAAGTATTTTAAAAGCATTTTTTAGATTAAAATGTGAAAATGACTGCTATATTCAAGCTCATATTTTTCTTGACATGACAATTAAAATATTAAAAATTTTATTTAAGATTTATCCACACATTTATACTTTTTAATCATCTACAGTAAAACTACTGCAAACTGTACCAATTTATAACGTTTTAAACTTTATATTAGGCCTATTCAACTAGTGGTCCGGGGGCCATTTTGGGCCAGTGGGTGAGCTCTGTCTGGCCCACCGCTGAGTTCATTTAAAATAAAACTTGATTTTAAATTGTAAATTAAATTCACATAATGACAATAATTACTACAACTCATGAGCTCTTGGCTTTCAATGTTTGTGCCTCCCTGAGCAAGAATAGCCAAGCTCCTTATGTATACTAACATTATGCTCATAGAGTAGTTTATTTAGACATTTATTATATCACAAAATATTTTCTACTTTATTATAACTGAAAYACATGCAGTATCTATAATAGTAAGTAAAGTAATAATAAATGAATAAATAATCTATAATAAACTATATGATATTTGCTAAACTATTAAATTGTGTTACAATGAAATTAACAGCCCTTAAATTTATTAACATTTATTTAAAGCATATATGATTCTGCAACACCCCTACAAAATAGTTGAAATCAGAAACAGTTTTACTCTTAAAACAAGGGTAAGGGAGAACTGTTCTTCAAATAAAACAGGTATGTTGAACGAAAATAGATGCTACACCTACACCTGCTGGCCATAGATGTAAAACACTACATCTCACAGGCTCAGTGGTTTTCTTTCTGTTTGAAGAAATTGTTTTTTTTTTATTATAACAATGTTGCTGATTTTGTTTAGAAAAATGATTTCGAATAGTTTTGTTCTTAAGTTAAATGTGTAAAATTTGCCACGTTTATATGAGAAAATGATTCATAAGTCAAAGCAACCTCTGCCTAACGTGAAGAACGTGGAAGTGACGTCTTTTTAAACTTGTGAGTGAGCGATGCGTTCAKAAACACTCGTAAATATTAAACGTTCAAAAGATAGAATAAAAAACATACAGAAAAATAGAAAAACGTGAGTGTGAACGTCAAATAAACCCCTAAAAATTATAAAATAGTTTATTTACCATAAATCTAGGATTTAAAAACATCTTAACCCTACTGTTTCAGCAACTGGAACGAGTTACTGTTAAAGAAGTTGTAATATCGGAGCTTCGAACGAGTTCATGAAAGCATCAAAAGTTCAGATGTGAAACTTAATCATGGACGAAAAAATGAGCCGTGCTGACACCGATTTCTCTCCAGGTACAACCAAAATATGTTTTATTCGTTCCTCGTTTGTGGTCTAAAATAAGAAAATGAATCAGCCACATCGTCTACAATTACTGTTGTAACTATTTTATTTTTGTATTTACCGACTCAATTAACTACAGCTGTTGTTGTTTACGGCTTGTTCAAACTCATTTCAAGTAACAAACACTATCKTTATTTGAGACAAAAGTTTGATAATGACAAATGAAAAGATGTAGTTCCTAAATTAGCAGCCTCGATGTGCTGAATTCAGGCCACCTCATCAGAAAGATAGTACAGAGTTAGATGGTAACCCAGTTTTGTGGGTCAGAGAAGCTAAAAATGAAAACAAAACTCCGTTCAAAATGCTGACAGTTTATGTTGAAACTTAGATATTTAGCATTAAAGTTATTTAACTGACCGTGACACCAGGCTCTATGTAAAACTGGGGATGTTTTGATAAATTCGGCTCTAAAGATTATCCACTAAACTACATTAATTATAAAAAGCAGTCTTTATACTTTCTAATAACCCATCTTTAAGGTTTCTGCTCAGTAATGTGCAACATTTACAACCAATCAAATGTCCTTTAAGTTGAAATCAGGACAGCACAATTTATTATTATATAATTGTTTTATTTGTATGAAAAAAAATCCCTTTGAATTTAGCAGTTTGTGAAGCTATGTAAACAGTTGGTATTTGACATATTTATTAACATATTTGCATATTGGGACAAATGTAAAAAATATATATATACAAAAATAATACAAAGCTGTCTGTGTTGTTAGGCTAATTATAAAATGTTCCCCTTTAAAATAATAAAATATTAACTTGTGTCCAKGCCAGACAGAAAAATATGTTATTTAAAAAATAAATTTCACGAACTTCTTATAATAAAGGTAGCATTCATTTGCTTTACCTTTCATCAAGTTTTTATTGTCCTCATGTCTAATTCCTATTATTTATTGCAGAACACATCRATTCAGTTTTTCATTGATTAAAAGTACATTATCACAAGTTGCGCACTCATTTATGGGACTAATTTCTTTCTTTCTTTTTTTTTTTAATGGAGACCCTGGAGGGTCAGGAAAAGAAGAAGGTGCCTCGTGTGATGGAGATCCAGAGAAAATCATCAGCAGACAGCTGAACGAACAGAGCCGGTTTGCTTTTGCTGCACTGTGTGGCGTCTCTTTGAGCCAGTTGTTTGGTGGTCCTGAAAACAGGTGGGTAGAGGATCGTGACATCATGACATTTTGAACATTCAGAACCCGTATCAATTTAAAATCACTGTGACTTCTTGTTTCTCAGTGTGTTCAGGGAGCAGTACTTGCACGGGCTGGTTTGCTGGTTGGATCTGGACGAGTCGGTGAAGCCAGTTATGGAGGCTTTCTTGTCGGGTCTGGGCTCCGAGGGCTCTGACACTTTTCTCTCCATCCTCCAGGCTGATCCTCTGCTGGTAGCAGGAGCTACTCCGATCGTCCAGGTGTCCGACAGTTYCTTTCTGTGGTCTGTGCTGCTATTAAATTCACCTTTTCTAACCAGCTTTGTTTTTGTGTGGCAGGATTTGGTGTCTTTTTCTGTCAAAGATGGTGAGAGTCTCTTAAATAGATCAAACTTGCTACAAATACAGAAGAAGCTTCTTGTTATTTGTAAGATGATTTGTTTTGGATTCAGGCCAGTACGATGCCAGAGCGAGGGTTCTCATCCGTCACGTCAGCTGTTTGCTTCGAGTCGCTCCGCAGCAGCTGGAGGAGTTCGAGGAAACGTTGGGAGAAAAGCTGAAGGAAGCGGGAGAGGAGWGCGAGTAAGATACGACTAAAAAGTCAGACACTTTTAGATTTTATTAACAACTGAAGCTATGAACATTTAGCTGGAAAGAAAATGTCAAAATTATGGGGAGCACTGAATGAAACTGAAACCGTAATGTTAGAGCTGAAAAATGCAAAAGCAACAAAACTCCTGTGTAAAATATAAGTAGAAAAATGCTTTCTAGATAACAGCTGCTTCAAAATGTTAGCTAAATGCTAAATAAAGCAAACGTCAAGATAAAATTAACAAAAATAAGTGAATCGTAGCAAAAAGCTATCTAAAGTAGCAAAGGGCTAGCTATAGGCTAAAAATGATTATTTTTTAAAAATAAAAATAACTGTTAGCTAAAATCTAAAAGTTGTAAAAAAGTTAGCTAAATGTTACAAGTAGCAAAAGGCAAGCTAAAAGCTAAAGTAGCAAAAGGATAGCTATMGGCTGGAAAGGTTTTCTAAAAATAAAAAAGCCACTGCTAGCTAAAATCTTAAAGCAGGAAAAAGTAAGCTACTAACTAAATGTAGCAAGAGGCAGGCGTAAAGCTGATTTAGCAAAAGGATAGCTAAAAGTAAATTGATAAAAGTAGCTGAAGGCTTTCTAAACATATCAATACCCTAGCTGAAACTATCAAAGGCTAGGTGGACAGTAAAATTAAARGAAAATTCTAAAAGTAGCTAAAGCTAACTAAAATATAAAAGCAGTTACAAGTAGCAAAAGGCAAGCTAAAAGCTAATTAGCGAAAGGAATGCTAGAGGTAGCAGAACAGTAGCTAAAAACTAAAAGTAGCATAAGAAGACAAAAGCAGTTTTTGAAGTGAACAATATTTCTAAACAGTGTTCAGTGTGGTTATACAAAACTAATGTAATGCTAGCATTAAGATAACGTCGTTGTGTGAACAAGGAGCTTATTGTTTCCCAGATGTTATCTTAAAGGGATTAAAACAGTCACCAGACTAATCTGTGTCACTCTGTTTCCACCAGAGAAGAGTCATCCAGGCGGTTGAAGAGAGAAAGGAGGCAAAAGTTCCGGCGTTACCTCCTCATYGGTTTAGCCACAGTGGGCGGAGGGACCGTGATCGGTGATTCCTCTTTGTTTCATGTCAAACATCAGCTAAAATATACAGCGAAATGGCTAAAAGTCATCTGAAGAGATTTACTTTCAAACTCTGCACTGGCTTTATTTCAGACTCTYTGTTGTCCAGGTGTGACAGGTGGACTGGCTGCACCTTTGGTGGCAGCTGGAGCCGGTGCCGTTCTGGGGGCCGGAGGCGCCGCTGCTCTGGGATCTGCTGCTGGCATCGCAATAATGGCCTCTCTGTTTGGAGCAGCAGGAGCCGGGCTGACTGGTAACAGCACTGAATAATTGTGTGGGAAGAGTTTATGCTGAGATTTTTGCCAAAAAAAAAAAAAATCACAATCTGCATATGTGTCATTCAAAATCTTTTTTTTTCATACGTTGCAGGATATAAGATGAATAAGTGTGTCGGGGCAATAGAAGAGTTTAAATTCCTGCCACTGAACTCGGGGAAACATCTTCACCTGACGATAGCAGTGACAGGTTGGCTCTGCAGTGGGAAATACAGTAAGTAAACTGTCTTCTGTGTTRCTACAGTCATGTCACTATGATGGGTTTAATTTTACTTTAAGTTGCTCCCATTTTCAAAGTGCAATTCTGAGTAGGCAGAAAGTAAACATTGTTTTCACACAAAACCAAACACTGAAACACTCTCTGTTACCTGCTCGACGCACACTTCTCGTACAATAGCTGCAAAAACACTTGACGTTGAAGCACAGCTGCTGTGTTCCAGATTCGTTCCAGGCTCCGTGGTGCAGTTTGGGCGAGTGTGGAGAGCAGTACTGCCTGGTGTGGGAGTCACGTTTCCTCAGGGACCTGGGCTCAGCCATGACCTCTCTGCTGGACGGGCTGGTCAGCATGATGGCTCAGGAAGCCCTGAAGTACACTGTGCTCTCAGGTAACGGGGGACAGGAGGGGACTTTGCATTTAGTCACCACTCTATAACTCCTCTCTAAACGTGTGAAACTAGATCATCTGTACATTTACATTAATATATCTGTATTATTTTTAGTCTTTTTTTATATTTAATTTACTGTATTTTACCCATGAAACTGACCAAACGTGCAATATACCAAACACCATCTCTCGTGACAGGCTGTACATATTTTTCTTAATATTTCTATTATTTTTATTGTACACTGTTAATGTGTACATAAGTGTGCTTATTTTGTAATCCTGGGTGTTTGTTTATTTTATTCTAGAGTGCTTATTTCTTCCTTTCACATTTCTCTGATCTGAACGGTTGCAGCTGTAATACCTGTAATTTCCCTCGGGGATTAATAAAGTATTCTGATTCTTACTGGATACTGATTTTCACCTGGTGCTACATGTATTTACCCCGCACTCCGATTCAGGTATCGTGACGGCTCTGACGTGGCCCGCCTCGCTGCTTGCAGCAGCCAGTGTCATTGACAACCCCTGGTGTGTTTGTCTGAACCGCTCGGCTGAGGTGGGCAAACATCTGGCACAAGTTTTAAGAAGCAGGCAGCAGGTATGGCACCTCTTTTCTATATTTTCTGTATTTCATCGACACATTTGTGACCCATCATATCGAAATGAGGATTAAGTCAAATTTGGACAAAATGACCCAACTACCGTATTTATTCAAGTATAATACGTAAAAC